ATTCACATAATTGCGCAGATCAGTACGAAAATTTCAGTGATTGTGCAGGTCAGTGTTGCCAACATTGTGTGAACATTTTGTGTGAATTGATTGGACGGTTTTGAAATATTTAAAAAAAGTTATCTCAATAAAATTTATAATATGTATATATATATATATATATATATATATATATATATAAATATTAAAAGTTAATAAATTTCGTTGGTATATAATCCAAATGGATCATAGTAATATAACATTCGAGAAAACCAAATTTTAAAAAACGAAACAAAAATATTAATAGACAACCCAGTGTGTCTGAATTTTATTTTCAATATATATATATATATATATATATATATATATATATATAGAGAGAGAGAGAGAGAGAGAGAGAGATACAGATACAGATAGATAGAAAAATAGATAAAGAGAGAGGGAGAGGGAGAGATTCTGCCTGAAAATGTATACATATTTCAGGAAATGAAAAACTTGTATAGATATTGTAATGTTAAATGTATTCTGAAATCACAAGATTTATACAAGTTACCTGTAATCACAAGAGATGCTCGAAATGGTCGCCTTTAACTTCCAGCCATTTATTAGTCCAGGGAATTACTTCTTGGGCAACGTTGGCCAAAGTTTTCCAATGGGATTGCTCCATATGCATTTTCAATTTATTATCAAAGAGCCGCCAATGCCCAATGTAGTCGGTTTTCTGCCCGATACACATACGTTAGAACTTGTTCACACTACAGCCACGATGGCAACGTCATCTGTCAAGAAAATATCACACTAAACACTGTTAACACAATTTATAAAATTACGAAATTCAATTTTTTCCTTTCCTGGAGTGTGTATACATTTTTGGGCGAACTAATTTGCACATTGTGTCCTTGTGCCATAATACGCTAAGTCAAGCTTAAGGACTCACGCACACACTTGTATATACATACATACAAACATACACACACGCATATATAAATATACATATATATATATATATATATATATATATATATATATATATATATATATATATATATATATAGTATATATATATATATATATATAATATTATAAATTAACTGATTTAAAATATGTTTTTCGCTACACAGTAATAACCATGTTTCAATTTATAATATTAATACTCTGTAAATTTACATTGAGCACTATTTTGTAAAAAATAAAAATATCAATAAGAACACCGGATTACATATCTTACTGTTCTTTATTTTTATTTAAATACACACACACACACACACACACACACATATATATATATATATATATATATATATATATATATATATATATATATATATATATATATATATATATATATATAAACCGAAATATGTGATTCTTACTAAATTAGTGCTGAAACAATATAACATACGTAAACTATAAAAAACAGAATAAATAAATAACAATAAATTATAATAAGCACTTATATTTTGGCAAGGGATATATCAGAATTAAAAAAAAAATAAACAGATGTGTTTAATCATTTAAAGGAACCAACACCCTTCTTTCCACTGACGGGACAATGACTTTCGAAATTGCATCACCATTTCCATTCGCCTTGGTATTTACCAACACCGGTAAAGGTTTGTTGCAAGTCAACGAGGAAACAAAATATGAAAACAAACTCCACGGCGATAAATGAGGGCTCAAACTTTATTTTGGATATATTTACATGTCTTATTCAAGGCTTCACTTTCTCGTTCAGGATGGGTGACAACTTGTAACAACTTCTGCTTTGGAACTAACAAATCACTCTACCTTTCGACTCTAGCGCCTAACAACTTCCTGTTCTGTTGATCAATATGACCCTTGGCTGACAACACGAACGGGCAGTATCGAAACTACTTGTGCCACAGTCCGTTTCCTTCTCCCCACACAACGGTAAAATAGAACTGACTACTTCAATCCCAACTAAAGCTTTTAAGATAAGCCTAGAACTATAAATCCCTCATATCTGATATTGTTACTTGATTGCAAATGTTTTGATTTATTTATCTATTTATTCTTTTGCAGCCTTTCAGTCAAGTAGATGCTCCCTTTGTGTAAGCATTCCAATCATAAATCCTCAAGTCATCTATAGTTATACATAATTTCCTTATATTTTAGGATTGTTTTGGGTTGCATCTCGTCTTCATGCCAAGAAATTGCATGAATAACATCGGATAAAAAAAAAAACACAACAAAAAAAGGAAATTTTAGAAATAAAACCAAATGTCCCTTACAAGGAGGTTGCTAAGAGAAAATATATTATATAAGGCGAAATTGACAACAAAGGATAGTATTTGCATCTGAGCAACCAGGAAATATTTTAAGAAAATATATCCAAACCATTTACTATCATACAAATGGAGAAGAATAACACCATGTTGCCAAATGAAGCTGAAACCCTGCCCTGGTAGAATGGTATGTAAAAAAAAAAATAAAGGGATACAAAGGCAGAAATTGCAATCTATTCATAGAGGAGAAACTATAAATTATAGAATTCAAGAAAGTGAACAAAGAATGAAAATATTCCGAAATCGTGACATACTAACAGATTCCATTTAAAAAAACGTGAAAAGAACACGTGTCTCGGAAAGGTTATTAGTCAAGAGGCACATATTTTGGTAAAAATCGCGAAGAGTAAAACACCACTATATATGAAAAATAAAGGCAATATATATATTCCAAATTCGAATTTCATTAAGAGAACGGGGAATAGGGATCACCATTTCAAGTTAGAGCTAAAAACATCAATTAAAAAAGGCCCACTCAATTCATTAGACGTTTAACAGGCGAGAAAAGGGTTTCAGCTTTGATAGTCCAAAAAGCAGTGAAAGAAACTTGAAAATGAAATTGTAAGGGAAACGAGTGAGGCATCTTGTGACTCAAGGACAAAAAGTTAGAAGATTAGAGAGGGTGAAGATCATCTTGAATAAGTTGGAATATCATCCTGGAATATATATATATATATATATATATATATATATATATATATATATATATATATATAAACTTAATTTCAATCTATCTTGAGCTTCCGATCCTTAGCTATAATTAATTAATGATGAACATGTCCTTTTGGTTTACGATCGCTTTTCATCATGAATTCTTCTATTAAGCTTGGGAATAATTATACATTATTATTGCTCAAAGTAGAATCAATAGCGTATATAAAAACCTCGGAAAATTTCAGTATGATATGCTTCTAGGATACAACGGCTCAAAGCTTAATCTAACAAATGGACAATTTCGCTGTTACACCCGATATATATATATATATATATATATATATATATATATATATATATATATATGTGTGTGTGTGTGTGTGTGTGTGTGTGTGTGTGTGTGTGTGTGTGTGCGTGTGTGTGTGTGCATGTGTATAACGTCAATATATATATATATATACAAAGTCAACTAAAAATAGAATAATAAAAGCGCCTTCTCCCCTTAAAAAAGTGGTGGGTGGCTTCTTTTCCTGATACGTGTGGAGGGTGCGATTACATATATACATACATATATATATATATATATATATATATATATATATATATATATATATATATATATATATATACTTTGATGGAAATAAAACAGTGCTCAATGCAATATAACAAAGGTATTAAGTATATATTAATAGTACTGTCAGAGTGAGAGTATTATGTATACATTTATTATATATATATATATATATATATATATATGAAGAATATGAAAAGCGAAGAAACCTAAGGTTGTGACCATATATATATATATATATATATATAGAGAGAGAGAGAGAGAGAGAGATACCAACTGCAATCGGTATAACAGTCATTGTAAACTGCACCAGTCTTTCGGTAGCTTCACCAAGTCTACATATAGTTTTACTATATGTAGACTTACTATTTAAATCATAGCTGGGAAGAAAAGGACCTGGATTCATACATTTCCCCTGGATATTTTGACGGAAGTGAAAAGTGAATGCAGTGAACTCGATTGGAATTTGAACATGGCTCTCTAATTTTTCGTTTCGGACCACGATTCATTACACCACACATATATCCTCTCTCCTTTCACTCTCTCTTTACACACACACACATATGAGTGTGCATATAGATAGATAGATAGATAGATAATGTGATAAAATATAGTTTTAAGTCATGTCATATTTATAGATTGAAGTGCTAAATATCAGGGATAGAGCGGATGTAAATATAAAGTGGACATTGAAGTCAACATCCAGCGGCGACAGTCTGCTTTATGCGTATACGCAATCGTCAGGCAAATCAATTTCAAACCTCAGACGCCATATATATATATATATATATATATACGGCGTCTAATGTTATTATCTTCCTCTCTGTCCTTTGGTAATCGATTTAGTTGCAATGACTATTATAGTTTACTGGTTATAGCACAACTGTTGTCTTGCCCGTGACAAACCTAAGCTTAGTAAATATTAAACAGAAAAATTTTACAGTGAGGGCGATGGTTTGTAAAATTATCTATGATATAGATTTATTAGTTGTAGCCTTAACGAGCGTTCTGTCCTTGTGCCAGACTAATATGGGTTTATTGAATAACGTCTGATGTTAACTGTAGCTCAATGTTTAGCAAGTTTTTTTAACAGAACAATTCACAAATTAGAGATTTGAACCATCACTAATTTGCACAGTGTGTTCTTGTGATAACGAAATATAAATTGTTATATATCAAGAACAGTTTTTGAGGAAAATACATATGAATATAACTTGTTACAGTTAATACGGCACGAGCATTTTTCTCAGGAGATTGGTTTTAGAAAATGGTCCTTTCTTTAGTCTATCCGTCTTTTATTGCAGTTGATCAACAACAAGGTGTGATATCCCGCAATTAAGCATTGTACAGGGAAATGTGGACTCATGCCTTTCTAGACACACCAAAAATTAGAGCTGATTCAATGCTCCACGTTACATGACGGGTCGCTAACACGCATCGCCTTTACGCAAGAAAACCTTCCTGATAATCCAAATCATTTTTCTTTCTGTTTAAAAAGAAATATCCAATTGATTATAAGAAGCAGTTTCTCCCACCTTTAAATATCGAAATATTATGCTACGTCCGATATAATGAACAATACATATTGCGCAGACGGTCCCAGCTGCATATCGAGGGCAGGGTGTTCCTGATCGGGGTGGAGGCAATGAAAGCCTAACTCTTCTTGTAAAAATACGTCTTAGAGGCGAACGAAGAGGAAATCAATGAAATCATCAGATATTCACTGAGTTCAAACAAAATTACGAAGAGGAAAAGAAATATCGATATCATTAAATTTTATTTTATTGCATCTTTCACTCCCTACCTCGTGATAGATAGATAGATAGATAGATAGATAGATAGATAGATAGATAGATAGATAGAAATGACGAGAAAGAAAGATTGATCGATAAATATGAACTGACTGACATAGATAGTGTTGTAGCATACCTACGGATGATAATGGCTATGTCTCCATTCACATAAATAGAGTAGTAAATACTGTATGTTGGTCTGCAGTTGGAGATTCATTGTGGAATTCACTTAACTCAATGCTAGCAGTTGACTACTTCTTCTACGCACTGCTAGCAAATCTTATATGTGTTGTTCTTGTCCTAAGTATTATCATTCATTACCAACCTTCCGTTGATTATTCTATTCAGTAACCTTCCCAAGGTTACAACAGATAGATAGATAGATAGATAGATAGATATGAATAGACTAAAAGAGAAAAAAAGAAAGAAAGAAAGAAAGAAAGAACAGTCCAAGATAGATTTTGTTGTGTTTAGCGGCATCTCACCCTCTATGGGTTATTTGATACCGAAATCTAAATATTATCGAACACAATATAATGGCTTCAACTAAATATATTTAGAAGACAGTTGTATACTTTCAACACCAAATAAAATCCATTACTGCACCTTCTGCTAGTCTGCTATATTGTTGGTACCTCTGCTATAAAATATATTATTGGTTACTTTCTTTTATGCAAAAATGCATTGCTGGTACTTCCACTTTCAGATACAGATAAAATGTATTGTTGGTATTTGTTATGTAAAATGGCATTGCTGGTTTTGACACACGGTGGAGTAATGGATAGCGACTCGGATTAAGGAATCGGAGAGCTGAGTTCGAATTCCAGTTGAATCCATTACATTCACTTACGTGCTAATACCCTTGGGAAAGGTATGAATCCTCTTCTCCTCCTCCCCACGTCAGCTATGGGTAAATAGCAGGACAGACCAGTTTCTATAGCCTTGGATGGCAACTGGTCTACCGCAGAAAGAAATGGCAACCTACTGCGGAAAAAATATGCCTCGTCAGTCATGTATCGAAAGATACTTGATCGCCTAAGCGTGTATCACGTATGGCACATAACTGGCTGACTTCATTGCTGGTGCTTCCACTATAAAAATACATATACAGATAAAATATATTCTATTTACATTATTCGGACCATTGTCCTCATCTTTGTCGCCTTATTTATTACAACGTTTTGGCCGTTGTACGCTCCGGCCTTCTTCAGGTGACTGAAATGTCGAACTGAACCCTTTATTTCGCTCACTGGTGTAGATTGTTCTAGTTCCACGTGCCATGTTTAATAGATATCAGTTATCAAATTGAGGACACATGGCACAGTGAATAAAGGCGTTAGTTAGATCCAGTGGCAGGACCCAAAGAGTGTAAGTTCAATACTCGGTTATGGTAGTGGAGAACTTGGAGAGGGGAATTAACGAGAGATAACTGATAACTGACATCCATTAAACATGGCACGTGGAAGTAAAACAGCCTACCCCAGTGAGCCAAATAAAGGGTTTAGTTCGACATTCCAACTACCTGAAGAAGGCCGGAGCGTACAACAGCCGAAACGTTGTAATAAATATGGCGACAAAGATGAGGACAATAGTCCGAATAATGTAAATAGTGTAAATATAGACATAAAATATATTTTGTTGCTATTTTTATATAAAAATGTAGTCTTGATATTTTTGCTATAAAAATGTATTTTTATAGGTTCATAGTGTTTTGTTTGGTGGGAATCTCTATTTGCCCATAGCTGGGCTCCTAACAGTTGCTACCACGCTGGATAAAAGAGGACCTGGTAATTAACAGGTGGTTCCACGCTTTTCAAAAGCTCCAATCTCTTGATCAGCGGCCTTGCTGCTGGGTGTTTTTATCGTCATACCCAGGGAGATAGATAGAAACACGCTGATAGATGCTGACAGACTAATACCAATCTTCTCTTAACCAGACGTTGCCACAACGGCCAATTTTAATGATAATGTAGTTCCAGATAGATAGATATGAACAGATTGAAATATACTTACAGAAATTATATATATATATATATATATATATATATATATATATATTAAAGAGATTATAGTTGTTCCTACGAAAGAAAAATGTACATTTAAAAAAAAAAAGAAGAGAGGAACCGCAAACGACTTTTTTTAAAATATATATTATACTTTATTTTCCATAATTTTGCATCACGTGTTTGGAGTCACGTGACCTTCTTCATACAAAGAGTGGATATTTCCACATGTTATTAAAATGAATTAATTTTCCTTATGTTTTTCGATGTTAAACATTCTCGTTTTTGCATGCTAGTGACACAAATGTCTATCTTTTACTGGCTGTGCAAGTTCTTCTGCTTGAAGGGTAATAAAACAATTAAGATTGGTCCGAGAAAAGGTGAGGAAAGATATCTGTATTCTTATCTGTTAATGACTCATGTGTTCTTAGATCTATTTCCATTTATTTGTACTGTGTGTGTGTCTTACTAGTATGTATATGTATATTCCCTCTCCATACATACATACTTATAATAAGGATTTAGTATACACATATACAAATACACATATACACACTTATATACATACATATATACATAAATACACATAAACACCCTTCCTATATTGTGTAGGGTTCGTGTGTATGCTTGTGAGTAGTCTATTTGTTTTTGCCAATATGTGTATATATATTCGTTCTCCACAGATACCTTTGTATGTATCCAAGAATATAATTTTAACGAATTACCATTTTTAGATATACTCATTTGCAATAAAAACAACCACACAATCATAGATTTCTACCACAGACCTACAGACACCCAACAATATCTTCATTTCAAGAGTTATCACCCAAAAATCTGCCTGAAATCCATCCCTTATTCTCTAGCACGTAAGGTTTGTATTATAATGACTGACAAACATCTCCCAAAAACCCGCATAGAACTACATAGAACTCTAAAACAACGAGGCTACTCTACTACACCTATAAACAAAGGATTTGAACACTCAGAAAAATTCCTTTAGACCATCTACTAAATCCAAAAAAACGTAATGTCGAACAAACACTAGCATTTTTCACCGCCAGCTCAAGAAAGACATTTGTGTCACTACCACACCAAAAAAGGGAATGTTTAACATCGAAAACATAAGGGAAATTAATCCATTTTAATAATATGTGGAAATATCCACTCTTTGCCTGAAGAAGGTCACGAGATCTGGAACACGTGTTGCAAAATTATGGAAAATAAAGCATAATATATATTTTTTTTTTTAAATCCACATTACAACCAAAAGCATTTGCAGTTTTTTCTTCATCTTAATACACACACACACACACACACACACACATATATATATATATATAGATATATATATATAGATATATATATATATATATATAACCGAGTTGTTTTTACGTGTTTTCAGTTAATCTTGGAATCCGTGTTTTTTGGGGGGTTTTTTGGTTGTTTTTTGTTTTTTTGGTTGGAGGTTTGAAAGGACGCTTTATCTCTCCTTATGTTTCAGAACGCCATAAGTAACGCAGCTTAACTAAGTCAAATGCACGTGAAGCATGCTTAACAAATAGATATTTAACAACACAAAAATAAAAATACCAGAATTTCATTCTTTCTCCTTACATTTCTCCTTCGCTAACAAAGCTTCAATAAAAGTGAAACATGTTTGACTTATAGGGATTTTCCTATTTGGTCTTTACCCTATCAGAGATAGATAGATAGATAGATAGATAGATAGATAGATAGATAGATAGATAGATAGGAACAAGTAAGGAAACCTCAAGACAGACAAACTATTAGAGACTGAGACAAATAGAAATAGAAACAAGCACATAGATAGATAGATAGATAGATAGATAGATAGATAGATAGATAGATAGATAGATAGATAGATATGAAAAGACTATGATAGATAGATAGATAGATACATAGATAGATAGATAGATATGAACAAGTAAGGAAACCTCAAGACATACAAACTGTTGGAGACTGAGACAAATAGAAAAAGAAACAAGTACATAGATAGATAGATAGATAGATAGATAGATAGATAGATAGATAGATAGATAGATAGATAGATGTGTGTGTGTGTGTGTGTGTTGCTTTTTAGTTTGCGGTCGATTATGATAACGCAAGCGATATAAAAAAATTAAAAAAAACCCACTCTTACGCTAAAATAAAAACGAAACGCTAAAAATATCGTTTGCTTGGCAGCTGTTCTGAACAAAGCCGATGCTTGCATGTCGAGTGCAGAAGCAACAATTAGTCAGCGGTTTATTCACAATGTTAAAGTGCAACCTCTCCACTTACTACGACAACAGCAATTTACCATGCTGCTATAAAATTATAAATGCTACATTTCACAATTACTTCATTATTTAACTTTAGTCTACCAAAAAGAATTTAAAAAAAAAACAAAAAACAAATCAAAGAATTAAAAGAACATCTTTAAATAACCAGCAAGGTCACCTGGTTTAAAACTAAGAAAATGAAATCTAATATTCTCTTTCAAAAAGGAAATGACGGATTTAAGCTCTAAACATCATCATCATCATTTTATTGCGCCGCAGCTGTGGTTCCCACTCCCGTCTATCTCATAGTTGTGCTTCATGCTGACATTCAAGATAGAATAATACAATGGCATACTGGTTTCTTTTTCACCTGGGATTTTCAGGTTACCTCGGCCCTCCTCTCAGATGTTAAACAGGCAAAACCTACCAGGAAGTAGATGGTTTGAATTCAGAATTTTTCTTCTCCTAGACTGGTTTCCAACCAAGGCTATAGCATCCAATGTGCCCTGCTATTTAGGCATAGCTGGGGGTTAGGTGGATTCATAATTTTCTCAAAGGTATTAGTACACAAGTAAATGCAATGAACTCGACTGAAATTCGAACTCAGCTCTCTGATTCCTCAACCCGTGCCGCTATCCATTACGCCACCGAGCCCCGGCAAGCTCTAAGCTTGAGTTTTAATCTCTGTCTATTATTTATTTCTGAAACGTACCTGGTGGTCAGGGTTCGAGGCTTACTCAAAACATCTGGTATCCATTATACCTCATATGATTATTTTTGCTTTTAAAGTAATACCTCGCTATATTTCCTGGACATAATCCAGCACAGTCCCAAATTGGATGAAACATAAAGCTGGGAGACCATGCTGAACCAGTTCTTGAAAAGGATAAAGACTGCCCATCTTGAAAATCAGCATTCTTTTGAAATCCTGGCTTCTACCTGGGATCGAACGCAGTCTGGGAAATATGAATCTAAGCAAGCCTCTCGGAAACTCTTCACCTCCCATCCCACGCTAATAAGAAAACTTGTCATAAAAAGAAAAAAAATTCCTCGAAATTCGAGATCAAGAATTCTCAGGTTAATTTCGATGCATCAGCAAAGATGGACGCATATTTAAAAAAAAATTTCCTGTCCCTTCACAACTTTGGTGATTATGTCTCTCCAAAGATTTCTTTTCTTTTATATTTTTGAATTGTCATGGTTCCTTGGAAAGATCGTTTCACGTTTTATTCTCCGTTTTTTGTTTGTTTGTTCTTTTGTTGTTGTTTTTTTGGGGGGGGTTGCTTCTTTTTTTTTTGTCTTTTAAAGCAAATCAAAACCAAGAAAGGCGGGAGTACCACTGACACGCAAATGTTACAGAAACTGAGAGCAAGAGTAAAGAGGGGGTGTTTGAAGAAAGGATAAAGAGAAGGAGGGGGATCAAAATCAAGGCATCAGAAAATGTTGATTGACATTACATTTGAATATTTGAAGATTATAACGACCAGGGAAGCAAGTAAGAGGAAAGGAGTTCCACTGTTGGGAAGTGCAAGATAAGAAGCTGTTGGAGTAGAAGACACAGCATCATTTAACCGCTTCGGCAGTGAAAGTGTGGGATCGAGATGCCAACCTAGTATCACGCTTAAATTCATGAAGTTGGGGTAACAGTGAAAGTAGTTCGTCAGAGCAGTTGCCATAAAAATATTTGTAAAAAAGAAAGAGGGAAGCCACATTACGTCTTTGAGAAAGTGACTGTAGACGAGGTGCTAGATCAGGTTTTGAATTTATAGCTAACATTCCAGTGGAGCTGCCACCCAAAAGCCCAGTCTATTTAATCCTTGGTTAGATGGGGGAAGAAATTTCACAGGCTAGAATGGGATTTGAACTCGGTTTGCCGATTCCATTTTACGTGACAATATCCCTTACGCCACACATATCTATTAAGCGATAATCCACAATCTTCCACTACATTTCTTCGGATTTATATTTCTTGCGTCAGTGATCCAACAGTCTTACGGACATATCACACTGAAAAAAAAAAAACAGATCTCGTCCGATCGCCTAAGTTAAGAAATGTTGAGTCTGGTCAGTACATAGATGGGTGACCGCTTGGGAATATTAAGTGCTGTAAGCTTGGATGTGCGTGGGTGTAATAGATAACGGTTCAGGATTGGAAAATGGAGTTCCAAGTTCCAATTCTAGTCGGGATCGTTATATTTGCTTGTTCGCAAATATCTTTGGGAAAGTTATGAATCCATCTCTTCGCTTCCAACCTGTGGGTTAACTGGTAGAACTTGTATCAGTAAACATCATTATTATCTGCATTCTTAGGATCTAAATTATTTATCTGGCTTTAAATAACCTGCAAAAGGTTGATAAGCTGTAATAAAATTACAATCATTTAGTTTAATCGTTGTTCCAAAGAGAGCTTGTATGAATGTTACTTTCATCATCTCTTTTTTAAAACTTTTCTTGTAAGGTCTAGCTTTTAATTTTCTTGAAGTTTTATGTTATGACCTTTTGAAAGAGCGAAATACACTCTCGAATGTTCTTGTTGGTGACATTAACAAGGCTTGGTTTTCTTCGCCTCGCTTAGTAGATCTACTTGAATCTGAGAGTCAGATGTAATGTCTTCGTTTTTTATTCTCTAAAATCAATTCTGCTGGGTATATTTCCGCCGAGTTAATTTTTATTATAATCATTCCACCACAAGAAAGGCGGGAACGCCATTAGTACACAGACGGTTAGAGTGAGTAAAAGTGAAAGAGCTAGACTGACGATAGGAAGGATTGAGGAAAAGACATGGACGAAAAAATAAGAAAAAAAAGAAAGAAAGAAGAAGAAATGTAAAAGGAAAAGACACAAAATAAAATAAAAACATAAGAAATAAAATGAGAAAAAAACGAAAGAAAGAAAGAACGAAAGTAACAGACGAAACTAGTGAGGAAAAGATAAATGAGAGAAATACGGAAGGTAAGAAAAGAAAGTTAATAAAAAAAGAAAGAAAATGAAAGATAGAAAGAAGTATGAATAATAAAAAAAGTAAGAACGAGAGAAAGAAATACGAAGAAGTGAAAAAGAAACAGAGGAAAGAAATAAGAGAAGGACGAAATAAAGAAAAAGAAAAGAAATAATATTGAAAGTTAAGAAAGAAAGAAAGAAAGAAAGAAAGATTTGAAGAAGATGAGAAAGAAGGAAAGAAAGAAAGATTTGAAGACGATGAGAAGGAAAGGATGAAGTAAATGGAGGACATAACATTTGAACAAAGCGAAGAATGAAAGAGCAGCAGAGAAGAAAGCATGAAATAAAGAAAGAAGAAAAGATAGACAAGGACGAAAAAAAAAGAAAGAAATTCGAAGGAAATTACGAAACTAAGAAAGGAAGTTGCAATAAGAGAAAGAATAATAAACAACAAACAAAAGTTTTTAATCCTTTCATCCCAAAAAAGGCGGGAATGTCAATAGTACGCAAGGGGTTACAGAGAGTAAAAATGAGAGAAAAAGCTGGATATAGGTGGCGGGGGTGAGGAAAGGACAAAAGATGAACGGGATTCAAGAAGATAGAAGACGGCGATTGACCTTGCACTGAAATTTCTGAAGATTGTATTTATCAGGTAAGGAAGTAAATGGAAAGTACTTCCACAGGTGGGAGGTGCGAGAAAAAATTAGTGGAGTAGAAGTGTTTTTTTTTTTTTTTTTAGCTACTGGGGTTGGTGCATAATTATCAAGCGTTTTAATATATTATTAACAAATAACTCAATTGTTAATAATATACAGTGTAACCCGGATATAAGAGAGTTGTCGGGACCGGAGAAGAAGTCTCTTATATCCGGGTTTCTCTTATGTCCGGGTTTGTTCTATTTTATATACATTAACACAGGCTCTAATTTGGGACCAGAGAAAATCTCTCTTATATCCGGGTTTCTCTTATATCCGGGTCTCTTATATCCGGGTTACACTGTATTATTTATTTCCAGGTTATAAAAATGCGTGCCGATAATCATACGCTCAGGAATATTAATTTAAAAATGTTATTGTTGAATTGTTGCTTCTTTTCTCATGATAAATATTATCTAAAACGCCTGATAATTATGCACCAACCGAATATTTCAACAGCAAACGGGTAGGACCCAAATGCCAATCTAGTAACATGCTTAAATTCATGTAGTCGAGGCACAAGCAAAAAAAAAAAGCTCGTCAGAGCAGTAGCCATGAAAATATTTATAGAAAAGATAGAGAGATGCCACGCCACCTTCGGCTGGAAAGTGACTGATTTCGAGCTGCCTGGTTAGAATCGATTAAAATACAGACGGGATGCAAGAGAATTAATGATGAGACATTAATGACAATGGTGCCTCAATCTAGCTAATGTCATACCATTATGGGGGAGATCTTTCTGGGAGATATATATGGGAGATTTTTCTGCCGCACCCTGTACTATCAGATACCTGGTCAGTATCAGTTTCATTAAAGATCCCTCTTGGGATTTTTTCAAGAATCTCGAAATGTCCAACAGGAGAATCAGATCAGATATGGCAGCAATATTCAATGTATAGATGAATCATGGTAGATTTAAAAATGTGCAAGGTGGATTCTGACGAGAAAATTTAGCTAGCCTGACACAATGACTCAGTTATTATTATTATTATTATTATTATTATTATTATTATTATTATTATTAAGAGTTCATTCGAATAGTAAGTGATACCTTACATTAGAGATTAAATTATAGAAAGTCAGTCACATAACGCCAGGACTCTTCAGTATTCTCCGTTTTCGACAATGAAGTCATCTGGATGGTTCCAACACTTTCCCTAATTTTTTTTTCTTCTTCTTCTTCTTCTTCTTCTTCTTCTTCTTCTTCTTCTTCTTCTTCTTCTTCTCCTCCTCCTCCTCCTTCTTCTTCTTCTTCTTCTTCTTCTTCTTCTTCTTCTTCTTCTTCTTCTTCACCCCCAGCAAGACACCCAAGATCACCACCACCTCTTCCTCCTCCTTTGATTTCGGGTGTGTACTCATTTCTTTAGGGGTCCCGCCTAGAGACTTAAGATCAGAAATGGCATCATGACATTTTCCACTGAGCAATTAAAAAAAATAAAAACACACACATATATTTTACATAGATAAAGCCATTCGCAAGGTGTGGGCTGTACTCGTGAGAACATTTTTTTTTTGTATTTCTTTAAGGCATGGGCTACAAGGAATCCCTTCAATGTGTCTATCATTTCCAATCAATCCGAGGGCTCCAACTACAAAGGGTGATGTTCCACATTTTTGAGATTTCGATTTCAATGTCCTTGTATTTTGATAGATTCAAAGGTACATTTCAGTAGACTAGGTGATTGAAGACCTTCTTGTTTAGTTTGTAACCATAGTTACTGTTGTTTAGTTCATGTGTATAGGAGGCTTAAGGACAGAAAAAAAACAGAAGGGATAATGATTATTATTATTAATAATACTGTTGTTATTATTATTTCTTTTGATTTCTGTTGTTCAAACCTTTCCTTCCAGGTTCCAACCAGAAATCTGAAGTCAGAAATGGTTTCATAACATTTCCCAATGATCATTTTAAAAAGATAACCCAAAGATTGCACACATTTTCCATAGATAAAGCTCTTCGTAATGTGTGAGCCGTACTTGTGAGTACAATTTTATTGTATTTTTTAAGACAAGTACTACCAGGAATCCATTCATTGAGTCTACTGGAACCTTTCCAATCAATCCGAGTTCTGCAACTACTATTAGAATTATTGATGTCCCCGTGTACCACATTTTTGAGAATTCCACTTCAAGGTGTCTGTAATTTGATAGTTTTTTTAATAGCTTGAAAGATATATAACAGTCTGCAGGGACAACCATGTCAATAAGAAAGCACATTCTGTTTTTGTGGTCTTTATGATGTTCATACCAATTTATTGTAGTTCCCTTCCGATAAAATTTGAATATTTCCCAGTGGATATATTGGCCTACTCTATCATGCCGAGTTTGATATTCAGTGGGTACTAACAACAGCAACCTGACACAAGATGGGCTACTATTTCCGGATATTTATCGCAGAATCTGCATTTTTTAGTACATGTCATTACTTTGTCTGACGAAATCCTCGTTGACTGCGCAGTTTCCAGATGATGATTACTATTATTGTTGTAGCATACATACCCACGATAATGGGTATGTCCTCATTCGCATAAATACAGTAGTGAATACTGTATGTTGGTCTGCAGTTGGAGATTTGTCTCCAGCTGTGCTGGTCAAGATCTCCCCAGACGAAGCTGTGTCGAAAAGCAGAGTCTCGTCTCGGGAAACAGCTACCCGACCCCGTTTTATACGGGATCTATGAGGAAATTTTGGCTGAGCCTACGGACTAGGATACCCCACATTAAATTTGGCCTTGTGCCACGTCTCCTCGCGTGGGGCGGCTGGTAGATATCTTGCAGTTGGTGATTCGTCCTCAGCTGTGCTGGTCAAACTCTCTGCCCGCAGAATCCCCAAACTAGGCTATGTCGGAGGGAAGAGTCTCGTCTCGGGAAATAAGTACCCGTCCCCCGTTTTATACGGGATCTACGGGGAATTTTTGGCTGAGCCTACGGTCTCGGATACCGCAGATTAAATTCGGTCTTGTGCCACATCTGACCGCGTCGGGCGGTTGGTAGATATCCTGCAGTTGGAGATTCATTGTGGAATTCACTTAAATCACTTCTAGCAGTTGACTACTACTTCTACGCGCCGCTGGCGAATCTTATATGCGTTATTCTTGTCCTAAGTATTATCGTTCATTACCAACCTTCGTTTGATTATTCTATTCAGTAACCTTCACTAGGTTACAACAATTATTATTATTATTATTTAATCCTAATCATTCTTCCGTTAGTTAACATGTGCACTACGCCCTACCATTACCTACGATAAATAATGAACCATTCCGTTTTGGTGGAGAAGAAAGTTAGAAGAAAAAGACATATTTATCAGAGACCCTGTTTGCTTTTAGGGAGAAAATGAAAGCATACATAATTATAAGAAAGAAAGAAAGAAAGAAAGAAAGAAAGAAAGAAAGAAAGGGAAGATAGTGAAAGTGATAAGGCTGTCTTGTGTTTTGATGGCAGCTCCAGTGAAATAGAAAACATTCATCAATTTTG